ATAGTTACGCCACTGATCGTCATGTTAAAATTTAAATAATTGATACGAAACAAGTTATTTAATATAATTAATTAATACATGCCTCAATAATCGAATGCAATATATCGAACTAAATTTTGAATTTAATTTACGTTTACTGCGTTTAATTGCTACTTGCTGGGCCGATGGCTGGCCATGCGTCATACTCGTGAACGGGTGCTACTTGTGGTGACTGGTCGGACTTGAATTCGTGTGTGCGGGTGAATGTAAGTGCGTGCTCCTATTTCACCATGCCTCCTGCTGATAGAGGACAAATCTTTGTTTTTAATTTATTTTATTATTATTAATTTACTATTAATTACTTAAGATGTCATGTGGAACATGGTAATAAATTAAACACTGTGTAAACCATAAAACTTGGTGATTAAAAAAAGTTTATTGCCAGTTCTTTTCTTCCGTTCTATGCCCTTGATTTGAGAACTGGCAGTAAATGTAAAATTAGAAGCATTTCATATATATTTATTTTTTGACGTTCATATGTATACATTGGGCTACCGATAGGAATATATGATTTGGATTGATTGATTGACACTTTTGGAAGCTATTAAACGCGGTAAAATCTTTAATTTTTATGATCAATATAAAATTATTTTAATTAACATTAAAACAAATTTAAAAAGTTTGGTCCCTGTGGCAGTGTGCCAACAGTGCCGGCAGAGTGCAGGCGCCAACTTAAAAACTTTTAAATCATTAATTAGCGCCTGTGCACTTACACAGTACACTGTCACAGGACCAAACTTTTTAAATTTGTTTCTATTTCTATTTATCCATATTTAATTATTTTTATATAGGTTTAGAATATTTAATAATATAAAGTATGAGTACAGAAAAATTTGGCAACATGCATATTAAAATCATTCACAATTCCATTTAACGTGGTTTCGCAATTGCCATGTAAATAGAGTGAAATTAGATAAGTGACATCGCGGTCTCCACTTGCACCTGACATTATCTAGTTGTGGCTTATTGTGACCACAACTCACAATACTCTCAGTTGAACTGTGGAATGTTGGTCAACTAAACAGTGCTTGTGTTGGAAGTGATGTGCTTTAAAAATAGGTAAGTTTTTATAAAAAATTTAAGATTTCCGTTAAATTTGCTGTATTCAAAGTTGAGGTAGCACACTCGCCATATTGATGTCTCAAATTTGGTTCGCATGTACTAAATATAACGAATATTTCAACTATGAAAGCATTTAAATTTCGTCGCGTTGTTTGTTGTTAAAATTATCGATGTGAAGGATGTTATGCGTATACTAAAGGAAGATAAGTTCTAGTTAATTGTAATGGTTTACACAGTTCAATCTTAATTACCGGGTGTAAAGAATAGGCTACAATATGTTATTTTTGATTGTGGTTTTAACATTCAAATAAAAAATGTATAATGCTAAAAACCCGCCAAAACGCGTTTCTATGCAAGATGGCGTCGCCCCTTTGATTGTAAACAAAAAACAAACGTCAAGTTTTGTATGCGTTTGCTTGCTAATTATTGCTATTTAGGTCAAATCTTACATTATATTATATAAGGGCTAAATTTACGACGACGCGCGTATTAATATTATCTTGATGGCTTACAAAGCAGTTATTGTAAACACTATATTTGCTCAAAAACCTCTAATATAATATAACCTAACTTAATACATATTGTGACTAGCGTTATTTGACTTTCCCCTGATAAATTTAAATAATTTAGTTAGGGTTTTATCGTACTTAGCAGTTGACATATTTTTGTATATTGTAATTGTAATAAATTGCCTTTATTTATATTTATTTCATTTAGTAACACTTCGTTGGATACAGAAATATAATACAGTTGACATAATTTAATTAAATGGAGGGCAAAAGGCGGCCTTATCTCTTCCAAGCAACCAATGTGAGAAAAAAACATATATGTACTATGTACACAGTGACAGGGCAATATTAAAAAAAGGACTCATGAATCACGATAATTTTAAATTACGTTTTACATCAGTTAGTACGTAAGTTAGGGTTACAATGTGGACAGGTAATGTTTGTACACTAGAGAATTAAAGAAAGATAACAGTCTGCTACAAAGTTAAACTTCACAGCTGCATTACGATTAGACAGTCGATTCTACTAATCCTGACCGTGTCGTGACTGACATATATAAATAAATAATTTTAATTGTGAATTTTTGATAATTTAATGTTAATATCAAGCCTACCACAACCCGTTTTAAAGGCAAGTTACATAAATATAGCTTTGGAAAACACTTTATTTTTTTTATAATACTACTACTACTAGCTTCTAGCTTTTTTATAGACCAGGAAGCTTGTTACCGCCGCCCATAAACATAGGGTGCTCGCAAGTACGTTAGCGACCTTTATAAGGGACCTTAGAGGCCTATTACGTAAGCAGATTTATTACAATTTATCCCCCCCTCCTCTTGTCAACAAACGTAAGCAAAGCTCTCAAAAATAATAGTATATAAACGTATAATTTTATGTAAGAATCCACGAAAATGCATTTCGTTTTCCAGCATAGACAATGTGTGGGTAATATGTGCAAAAAAGTAAATAATTATTGATGACGTAATCACCAAATAAGAAAATCAAAGACCTCCCCCCACCCTTCCCTATAGTGCTTACGTAATACTTGAACCCTTAGTCGAATTGGTTAGCACCATTTAAAGTCGTTCAAACGATTATTTTCTTTACATTTATTAAAAGACATCAAATTAATAAATTATATAGGACCACACAGATCCATACAAGTTAATTAATATGCAAACTGCGCGGACACCAGTTTTATGTCCCTGCATTAAGTACGAAATTAATCGTAAATTAGTATCAACTATTGAATTAAAGACATTTATTGGGATCCCAATTTTGATTGAATCTATAAAATCAAAAGATTAAAATTGGACTATATGAATACGATTTCATTCTAAAACGGTCTGCTGCTTAAAAGATTCCCGCTAAACACCGGCATCGCGGGTAAAAAGGACAGTATGAGTTGCGCGTCTCAATCACAAATAAATACAAGTCATATTTTTTTTTAAATTAAATTTTAGAGCGAAATAGCCCTGTCCAGTCTTTTTACGCGTTTTATATGCTTGATCATAGTCTAGGGCTGGGTTGCAGAGATTAAAATATGGATTAGAATAAGACCTAAAGCTGCTACAGATTACTATATCATAGAGTAAAAACTAACCAGACTAAAGAGGATTAAACATAGACTAATATTGATTGTTTCGTTTATATTTTGATGGAAATCAATTTTAAATAACACGCATGTAACCCTATACCACGTTGCATGGTGTCAGCATTTGTTGCCTCGTGGAACCTCATTACCTGATATTTTATGTGCATTCAAATCCTAACATCGGATTGTTTAGCCGTAAGTTTTACTGTAATTATTATTTTTAATTAAATTTGTAGTTATTAGTAACAAAAACCAAATGTTTGCTTGATTTTTTTAAACTGGCTGTGGCCAACGTAATTCACACTCAGGCTATAACTTTTGTTCGTAAAGTGTAATGTGAGATAACTCCTGTTGGCTATAGTGAAAGTTTTGATTCGGAGAAAGCTTTAGTTTATCAGGTAAGCGCGAGCAATAGAAGACATTAAACTAACCAAATAAAACGAATTTCTTGTAAAAAGTAATGTTAAATTCGTTTATTTACATATTAAGTATGTCATGGACATCGTACACAAATTTAAAATTAATTTATATTTATGGTACATTATTATTATTATCATTGGTTACGGCCGATATGTTTTAATTGGTATTAAGATATAAAAGATAACAGAGCGAAACACCGAGCTATCATATTATAAGACAAACCGTTTTGACGTAAACTTGTCTATGGCTTTACTACATAAAGAAGTTAAGAGTGAGTACCTTACATGTATTTAAATTTGCGGTTAACAATACATATATATTTCATGAAATGGAATGTTTTATTTCATATCACTTGGCGTGTAGGGCGATTTTAACGTAATGGTCGGCAGTGACAAAATCAAAGCCCCTAGAATGCGAGAGTGACCCCGGAGCCTCTCTTACGCGGGCTTGTAGGAACTACCCGAGGTGGTTTTAGTGGGTATTATTCACCCAGTCTCTGAATTGCAGAGAATCTGGTGTGGGTTGAATCCCACATACTCCTACAAATTTGGGGGCAGGCAATGCGCAAAGTATTTCCACCTCGGATATAAAAAAGAGGCAATTTTAAGGTACGCCTTCGCACGACAGGACGTTTTTTTTTAATAAAACTCAAACATTTTCAAATAGAGCCTAGGTTAGTCAGAGATAAAAGAAGCAAGAGGTGCATTACAGTAACTGATATTGATTATATTATTTATTATATATATATATATTTACATATATAGGTATTTAATGGAATGAATTTATTAAATGGACATTAGCACACATTTTTAGTGTAAATTGACTACACTGGATACTGCAAAAAACTGAGCTGTTTTCGTGTGATTCTAGCGCCTTCATACTAAGTTAATCTTATTATACAGAAATACCAACCAACGCGGAGATCAGCGCGCCATTTAAACGTAATTGATGCGTTATTAATCCTAGAGAATATGCTTTTAATAATAAGAACATCTTACATAGTTGTTTCAAGTCGTAATCCTATGTTATATTATTTATCGAGTGTGAGATAAATCCTCATAATTTTTATTGTTTATATTACCGTTATTTTTTTTTTATTTTAATCCCAAATCCCATTGTCCCCGGTCCGGGGGGGGGGGGGGGGGGGTTGGGGGGGGGGGGGGGGGGGGTGGGAAAATATTTTGTGGGGGGGGGGGGGGGAAAAAAATTTTTAAACCCCCCCCCCCCCCCGCCCCCCCCCACGCCCTCCCCCACCCGGGGTGGTCCCCCCCGGGGGGCGGCCCCGGGACCCATGGATTCGCAGTCAGGGGTACTAACCACTAGACCAATGAGTCGTCGATTTTTGTTTCAGGATTTCCAAACAAATAAATTTAAAATATGACTGAAGACAAAGTGCAATTGGACGATGTTCTGGGCACTCTTGGGGCGTTTGGTCGGCACCAGGTCATAACACTGTGCTTGCTGTCATTGGTATACGCCACAAACTCTATGTACAATGTGAATTATGTATTCGCTATTGAGGATGTAAATTATAGGTATATTTAGCTTTTTATTTTTTTATACAGGTTGTACGTCATTTATTTATAGACTGAATTAAATTCTTTGCGCGGTGTGAATAGAATATCGAATATTCTATATTCTAATATGATACTAAAAAAAAACCCCTTTTTTTTTAAAATATTTTTATTTTTATTTACACAAATATATAAATGTTCTAACCTATAAGAAGAAGAATAAAATGAAATGTTCAGTCCGTTGGAATGTTCAGTTGGGACTTTCACGCTTAACCACTAGTAGTAAATATTTCCTACTACGGAAACTACATATATAATTATTTATTACAATATTCCAATAGTCCTACCGATCCCTACGTCTTTGTATGCAAATTCGATGTAGTTTTAATATCCATAGCGCTGATGTCTCAACTTTGCAATCGCGCGGTATAAAAATGTTACGTTAATAATGTTATTGAGATTGGAATCAGATCGGAAGTTACAGAGTACTTACTGCTCATGGCTTCTCACGAACGGACATTTTTTTCGTTGCAAACATAAAATTTATTTATTAACACTTTGTTGCATACATTCAGATAACATAAGTTATTAAGGAAATTATTAACGTGCGGCCTTATCGCTAATTATCGTTCTCTTCCAGGCAACAATTGTACAAAAAACAAAAAGTGCATTACTAAATTTAAAAAAAAAATACTGTTAAAAATTTAATATAATTACAAAACCAAGATAAAAAAATAACTAAAAATTAAGAGTCAATTACAATGCTAGGTTGTAAAATACATAAACTATTACAAAAACAATACAAAATGATTATACACATGGTATAGATATAGCTTTGTTATAAATTGTACATTTACTATTATCGATTTTTCATATTACATAAAACTTAATTTTATTTAATCAATTTAAAATGCTAATACGCCGTATAACGAGTTATTGATAACAAGCCTATAAATTAATTGTTTCGCGTTTTTAACAAAAAATTTAATTTTTATCGTAAGGTATGTTGTTTAATAAACCCGTTTTTCGTTAAAACAGTAAAAGGAAATATAGATATTATATATCTACGATGAATGAAACTACAATGTGAAATATTTATAGAAACAACATTTCGAGTTTATTATTTCGTAAAACTCCTTCAGAACAAATATTCTAATCTAATTCCTAAGTAAAACTCGAAAATGTTGTAACAAAAATTCTTCTTGTAAAAATTTAAATGACAAGCCAAAACTCGCGCCTTTTTCCACAGACTATCAAACGCTCAATAAATTAAATAAAACGTCAGTTGATACACGACAGATAATTAACAATCTATAAGAAATATAATTATTTCTATTCTATATAGTAATTTAAGATGTTTTTATATTAATTAAATATTTGCGTGTTCATTATTTAAGCAATATTTGACGGCTATGTTTAATTGCTTATTATCATAACACTATAAACTCAAAACTTAAATATTCAAATGTAATAATTCTTCTGACTACAAATGACATGTTAACTGTAGAGTTTTTTTTTTTGGGTTGAACACGCTTATCTCAGTGACTGTATTTATCTGAATGAACAGTCAATTTATCAAGGACGACTATAGGTTATATACATTACAACCAAATAATATATTTTAAAACATGTGTGCGTGTACTAGTGTGCACACGTAAGAAGTAAAACTTCTTTATGACCTTAGTTTTCGAAAAATGATCTACTATATGCAACTTAACAGAAATTGATTAAATAAAGTTAAATTAGATCAAGTTTAACAAAAGGATTTTTTTATCATAGACATGAATACAAATAATACAATTATTTCATTTTACCTTATTACTACTAAGATTATTACAGAATTTCATTAATTGTAATAGAATTATTACTATCATTGTTATCGTTATTATATGTTTTTGTTATTAATGGCTTCGAATCTCTTCGAATCAACCGTAGTCGAGACAAGAAAAAGATGGCGCGTAACGTAAAAATGTGACGGTGGTTTTTTTTCCGATAAAGAAGTCTCACTTCAATAATAAATAATACACAAAGCATTTAATTTCCAGATGTAAAGTTCCAGAATGTGATATAGGCGACAATTTCAGCGCGCCCTGGTTGTCAGAGCGGGACATCAAACAATGCTATCATCATCCACCCTTGCAGGGATGCACTGGTCTGAATACAAGCATCAGCGAAATGTGTACTGAGTGGCTTTACGATGTACCGAATAGCTTTATAGCTGAGGTAGCAAATGTTATAAAAGTAGTATATTTAAGATTCTTTTATTATAAGAAATTTAGCGAAAGGTCTGGCAAGAATTAATTAAATTTTGACAAACAGCTCGGGCTAAGTCTCGCCTCTAAATCTCACCCTAAGTCCTCATTATTAATGACTTCAATAGAAAAAAACCTTGGACATTACAACTACTACAACTACTAGTGGCCCCAGGAACAAGTATTATTTCCTTGATATTTTTCTTTGTAAGCAAGTAATAGCTGGCAACACGCCATCGATTTGTGGAACTAAGGAGCTGTTTCCAAACGATGTATGAGCACAATAGAAAAATTGGTGCACAACCGGGATTTGAACGGACGACCATGACACTACAATGTTTAGGAGCTGCGCATAACTACAACGTACGTTTCTGTTTCCCACCCTCAGTGGGTATTTAAAAAAATTTAATCACCTTACTAGAAGTTATAGATCACTGCGGTGTAATGTTTTTAAGGAGAAGGTGATTAAATTTTTAAATGCAAGATGCCTTTATAGTGTAGGCGAGAATTTAGAACATAAGTTTGACAAAAATTATAAATAACTTAACGTATTATTGTGACATTATGATAATTAATATGAGAATCTATCTTAGCAAATAAATTATTTATTAATTATAATAATTAATTCAATACATTTTAGACATACATATATAAATATCACGTCTCTGAATCTGAGGATTAAATTAGTAAATTACTGAAATATGGTGCACGAATAACGTAAATTTGGCAATTTAATTCCTTTGTATAATAATTGGTAAAGTAAGTCTAAATAAAAGACTTTTAAAATTACAAAATAGCCGTTTCAATCAGCGCCTGGTCACGATTTTCGTTCGAAGGAAGAATTATCTCAGAGTTCGCGAGAATAGTATAATTATCTTACCCTCACACGTGGCTCCAATAATACATATTTTGCTGAGACAAGTGTATAGTGAATACTCTTTGTACTTTGTTGAATACTTGCGAATATTTTTAATATATAGAGCCCATAATAAATAATAAATCGTGTATTTGCAAAGAAAGTGGTACATTCATTAATTATAAAAAAGCCGCACAATCAGTCATATAAAAGGCATGCAAATGTAATATTAATTATCATAATGTCAAAAAAAAGTTACAGTTCACTTATTTATAATTGCTGTCAAAACTTATGGTCTAAATACTCTCCATGATCCACATTATTAAATCCAAGTTGCATTATATAATTCAAAGCTGTATGTTGTAATAAAAATCGCAACAAGGAAGTTTAGATACACACAAATATTGAATTTACCATTAAAGAAAGATAACATTTACAACATTTATTTACATGAAATCAAATTTCCATAAATAATCTAGAATATATTTTTGGAATAATGTTTATTATTATCAAATTTCTAATCATTCATGCTACTCTTAATTCTATAATATTTATGATTGTATAATATTTTATCGTTAAAACATATAATATCGTATTTATAACACTTGCTACTGATATCTGATACACGCAGCCACCGCGCAATCTACATTTCATTCGACCTTCTTTGAGTTTACTCCACATATACCTCGAAAATAATAAAATTGTGTATTACCCTCCCCGTGATTGAAAAGTACACCTTTTACATGATGATGTCGCAGGCATATGATCTGCTGTAATGATAAGATTAGCCAGGAAAGAAGACAATTTTGTTAAAATATTGAATTAGTTGGAAAGAACGCATTGTTGCCTAAATATTATGCAACATTTCCTTTTTGTATTAAAGTCCATATTCGCTAACAAATAGATAAGCTCAAAATTAAAATTTTAAACCTCCATTACGATTTTTGAAATTGTTTAAAAATCAATCTTCACGTATACGATATTATACTATTGGTCCTCGCGGGAACAGATCTTTACAGTAGCACTAATCCGGTATGTTTATGCATATCGTCGAATGAAGGTATTCAAGCGATATGCCTTACGCAAGTATGTGCTTATTCCGCTATTATGACAGTAACTTGTTTTAATATAACCAGATATTACCTGAGATGTCTAAGTATCAAGGAGTATATCGTTAAATAATAGGTACAAGACTGGTATTCCGAGGGCACTAGAGGTTTTTTATTTTTTTTTAAATTATATACTTTACTAAAAAAAAAAAAAAATAGTAAGTAATTCACGTTCTGTCCAATAATGTTTACGCAGAGAAAGAGAAAGAAGATTGTATTAAACATTGAAGACCGTTTTAGGTAATATTGTCTCGACAATACATTTTAGTTAACGAAGTCCATAGGTTAGCGGACATTTTTATCTGTTGAGTGAACTGACAAGAGTTCTATTATTTGTTATTGTCTATAATAGTAAGCTAATTTTTTTTAATATCTTTACCTGTCCTAAATTAATTTCTTATAATTTTTTTGTGATTTGTGTGTGAATTTTTTTTTTGATCGTGAAAGTGGTCACCAGTTAGGACAAAATTGTGATTTTTGTAAAAAAAATAATATTTAGTAATTCTTACATAAAATGTTAGATAAAGCATGAAATTAGAGTCTGGCTAATGAAAGAAGATAACGAAAAAGCGCGGCAAATTAAAAAAAAATTAGTATGGTATCCCTAAAATTATTTTTTACATATTATTTTGTGGATTATTATTTTTTACATTGATAGTAACTATATTTCTATGAAATTAAACACTATACGTATTTAGTATTTTACTATTGATACTTAAAATGACTAGCATTGCATGGAAAACTAAAACTACTATTATAAAACACAACTTTATTCGGAATAATCCAATCCTGCGAAAGAAACGAAATATTCTATCAAATAAAACAAAGTTTAGGCAATTATACCAGTTAACTATTAGGAAAAAATATATAATAGAAATAAAAATGAGTAATTGCATGAAGTAACAAGACAATAAATCATACTAACCTAAGAAATTCAATGACATTCTGTGTTGCCATCTGAAAGTTTTCAAATAATTCAATTATCTTCTTTCATTAGTCAGACTCTATATGATTTTAGTTTGGATTGGCCTGCGAAGACTGGAAACCACCGCTAGTTGGCACAGTTCACAGTTTTGGTGCCATGGTCGGATTGTTACTACAAGGACAGATCTCGGACAGGTTTGATATCGACTTGATTCTAGAAATTTAAACAACAGCACTTAGAAGTTTAATTGGTCACGCGCATGGGTTTTCAATGAACCCCGAGTACAAATCTAGGGCAAGTTATACTGTAATCCGAGTACACACGGTGAATCCCAGCTCTTAAGTCTTGACCATCGCCGTTCAGTTCAGTGCTCCATGGAACTACACAACCTGATTCCGTCACCCGCAATCAAACAACGCTCATCTAGAAGCACGCTGGAGTTTCAACTCTTGGTTGTTGACATCCGAACTGCACGATTTGGATCGTCGTTTCTTGTAAAACCTGAGAGGAGTGGAACGTCTTGCCCCCTACCATCTTCCCTATACAGTTTAATATGGGTTCATTTATGCGGAGGTTAATAATAATAAAAATAATAAATTATTGCAAGAATATGGTACAAAAATGTGTAAGGTGGGACAATCGTAAGTTCGCATATTCTGACACACACACAATGGCGCGCAAATTTGTGTTGAGAGGAATTTTACAATATTAATCATATGAATTGGTCAGTTCTTATATTATTTGTATCGTACATAATATCATATCATACGCTATTAAATTTATATCAACTACCAGTATCTCACGCAAATAATTTATTGAATCATACATTTTTTCCAAAAGTAATACACCAAGTCGATTTTTAAAGACTCTAGTCGGAAGATCTTTTAATTATTTTGGTAAATTATTGTAAACCTTAATGGCCATACAGAAGGGGTTTTTCCTAAACAGTTAAAACATGCATGATAAGCAGCTAATACCGTATCATGGTTAACAGTTTCCCTTAGACGTTTTAACACAAAAACGTTAAATACAAAATATAATAAATACGTTAAATAGGCATCTCCTGGACTGGCGTACCCTCCAATAGGCCACATAGTAACATCAGGTGTGATTGTTCATTGTATCCAAACGTCCAGTTTTGTATAAAAAAGCAACCTTAGAGACACTTTATAGACGATTTAAATTTTTTTTATTAGATTTGGGCGTAAGACTGCAGCCGTATTCGCGGGGACTATGGGCGCTATTTTTGGGATTAGCAAGAGTTTTTCTACGTCCTTTTGGCTTTACATTGTCCTTGAAGGATTGGAGGCTGCTATTGGAGATGCTCTTTCCCCAATGTTTATGTTAAGTAAGTATATGAATTCTTTACTAGCTGTAACCTCGTTTGCAAATTATGGTTAAATTACCTGCAGCTGAGTTTCATCATCGGACGTCAAGGCAAAATACAAAATACCATCCGTATCACCTCGACGTCCGTCGTTCCACAACAAGCGTTTTCTAAGGCAGTTTTTGCGCGCACCACCACTATGTGGAACCAGCTGCCCACAGAAGTATTTCCGAACCAATTCGACTTAGGGTCCTTCAAGAAAAGAGCGTACCAATTCCTGAAAGGCCGGCAACGCACTTGCGACCTTCTGGCATTGTGATTCCATGGGGCGGTATCACTTAACATAGGTGAGCCTCCTCTTGCTCCTAACAAAAAAAAAAAAAAAAAAAAATGGTTTTTGAATTAATGAACTCAATTTTATCGAGTAATACCACGAAAAGCGTAAGGTAAAAGGAAGAATGTTGTTCTAAAATAAAATACAACACAAATTTTTACTTTAGTCAAAGTTAAATTTTATCGATATTTTAGATCGTTATTGGAAGTCTGCTTTTGTATTAACGAGACCGATTGAACGATATTTTACAAATGGTGGTAATTTTTTATTGAAGATGAAACTATTCAAATTAATATGTTTATTGTTTTACTATCAAAATAACTTACTAAAAAGTGGAAACTTATACTTATTTCAATTTTTTTAAAAGTAAAATTTTGTGTTGTAAAAAAGTAAAAAATCAATTTAGTTTAGACGAAGAATATATGACATGAAAACGTTTTATTTTGTATTTGGGAGAACGATTGAATGATATTTTACAAAATCTGTGGTTTATTATTTTTTAGAAAAAAAAAAGATGATATTATACAAATAAATATGTTCATTTTTATTAAGTTTACTATCAAAATAACTTACAAAAAAATTGAAAATTATTATTAAAAGGACGTCTTTACTTTTCTTTTATGTTCATAAGTACCTACTATCTCTCAATAAACCAATAGGTAGTATTAAATTACTATAACAATCACAAAAGCAAATTTTATACCAAAAAAGATTTGTTATAATATATTACCGATAAACCAAACAAATAACATAATTAATTAAAACATCTTGTAATTAATTACAAGCAACATCATTGCTATAATAACCGACAAATGAACGTTCGGATATTTCAGGTATAGAAATAGTAGAGAAAAAACAAGCCGTACTATTCCAAATGATACTACTCAATTGTTATACTGGAGGATTAATACTCATGCCATTTATAGCATGGGCTGTACCCTACTGGAGACATTTCCTACGAGTCATATATGCCCCAACTCTTATTATACTCACATACTCCTTCTTTCTCGACGAGAGCATTCGCTGGCTCTTCAGCAAAGGGCAGAAAGACAAAGCGATTAGATTAATAGAAAAAATTGCAAAGCAAAATAATAAACGCATAGATAAGGTGTTACTAAATAGATTAGATTACACTCACGAAAAAGATGAAACCCAAAGTGACAGGAAACTTTTAATGAAAACTTTTAAGTCCCGAATAATGATGCAGAGGTTTTTCGTGTGTATGGTGTGGTGGTTGACGATTACGCTTATCAATTACGGAATGATGATAAGCTCGGTTCTTATCGAGGGAAATAAGTATATCAACTTTGCTCTCTTGATGCTTATGGACATCCCAGCGAACGTCTTCTACTGGCTTGCACTTTCGAAATACAAGAGGAAAATGCCATTGATAGCATCGTTTATAATTGGTGGACTATTTTGTGTCTCTCAACCGTTCCTACCAAAAGGTAAGATTAACAATATACATATAGAATAGATATTTACGCTACTGTATCTTTGTAGAGAAGTAATATCAATATTCTCAAATTTATATTTACTCAAATCAAATCAAAATCATTTATTAATTTAGGTAACGCAATGTAAACTTATGAACATCAAAAATAAATACATATTACATGCCTCTAATTTTACATATACTGCCAGTTCTCAAATCAAGGGCGTAGAACGGAAGAGAAGAACTGGCAATAAACTCTCCGCCACTCTTGTTAATCGCCAAGTTTTTTGTTTTTCACAATGTTTGTAAGAAGCTGCAACCATTACACCATGTTCCACATGATATCTTCGACAGTCCGACCAGTCTACTGTCTTCTGAAGTCCTGTAAGATTTCTATAGTCAAAGATATACGTCTGTTTTATTTATATTTGTTTATAGGTAGATGATCAATCAAATTTAAGACATTTTGATTTCTTCACCGTATCAGAAGAAACCAAAATCCCTTGGTAAATCGATGTGCCACTCCATTGCTAAATGTCGAAATCAGTAGTGGAATCTTATCTCTAAAAATTGTTTTCAACAGAATATTTTTCCTTCTAGTAAACAAATATTCTTTCAGGATATGCCTGGCTTGGTCTGCTATTACTGATGGCTTTTGAGACTCTGGCCACGTTCTCATACAACATCGTGTACATGTACACTTCAGAGCTCTTTCCCACCTATACTCGGAATTCAATGCACGCTATCTGCTCTTCTATCGGTCGCCTAGGCTCATTACTGGCACCACAAACTCCTTTACTTGTGAGTATTATGTCGATTCAGACTTATTTATATATTAAACAATAACATTTTATTTATGACGTAAATTTGCTTCACCTAGGTATAATAATAAATAAAAATTTATAACTAAAACAAATTTTATAATTCGGTCTGTAATGATGGCAGCATTTTCTCCTTGAGACACTTATTGGAAATTGATATTTCATAAGCAAAAAGGAATTGATTAATATTGCCCTAGTATTTATATTTAAATCTCTGTAGAACTAAGTTTAAATATTGACTACTGTTAAAATGGAGAATAACAATATTGTTCGCGGGAACGTGCCCTGCTTACACAATACGTTTGATAAGACATTTTTCAAATCCGTAACTCATGGCCTAAATAATTTATATTATCATTTAAAGCCTGAACACTCGTATCTAATCTAGGAACTGTTTACTGATCAAGCTGAATATCAAACCCATGCTTATCATTTACAGATGACATATTGGACAGGTCTCCCAGCGTTCATATTTGGTGCATCTTCTCTGCTATCAGGAGCTCTAACACTTTTGATGCCTGAAACTGCAAATACGCAGCTCCCAGATACGGTACAAGAAGCAGAGGCGATTGGTACTGTTAAGGAAAGAGTACAGAGTGAAGAACTTAAAGGACTTACTTAGGACAGAAAGCGACATCTAGTGGAATTAAGATTGCGCGTTATGTGCCATAAAAAAACATATCATAGCCTAGAATAGATTTATATCTCAATTAATAATGTGAATTTTATTAAAATCTATGATAATGTATTTATATATGTAGTGACAATAAAAGCGCAGAAATCGTTTAATTGTTGTATCAACTTAAAGTATCCCGCTATGAAAAATCTGTTCTACTAATAAATGTGTCATCAAAAATCGTCGTTTCTAACCTATTAGTATTGAACAAACCAATATATTAAAAGCCCTATTACACACAACTTTAGACCATTAATTTGAATAAATCTTATTCGGTTTTAATTAAATGCACCGGAAACAAATAAGCGTACTTCCTACATTAATTTATGACTGCATATTCAAAAGATATAGCAAGTTAATTAGATGAAAAATTAACATGCTTGATGCAACCTTGAACTGTGGGAGACTTCGGTTCATGTTTTTACTGGTCTAGACATCATTTATCAAGCTTTGATCACAGAGTTGACAAAATATAATGTAATTTATTACGTTTTATTTTCTATAGAATGCGGCTTTCATTGCAGTGCAATAAAGCCTTCTTGCCTTTACAGGCTGGCTGTCTGTCAGTTTATTTATTTATTTATAAGTACTAAAACAATGTGTATGCATAAAATTATACAAGAAAATATGAGACAAATATAACACACATACACATCAATACTATTAGAACATAAGCAAGCTAGCAAAGAAAAAAAAGGATGCGTGTACTTATGTACGCGAGTAAGAAGTTATACTTCTTTGGCATTATTAAAAATAGTTTTTGTTTGTATGCAAATAATTAATTACAATTAAATAATCAAAGACTGGAAAAGGAGTCATTATAGTCAATAAAGTTCAGTTTACATTTGAAAAATTAAATAAATAAATATTTATTATTATTCTCTTACTTTAAGTGTAACATAAATTCTATTATTATTCGAATTTTGTTTTTAAATTATGTCCAATGCCGTAGCATCTTCCGTGGGCAACTTCATTCTGTTAATTTTGTGTCACGGTGCGCGCGCATCGTAAAATTTCACTCTCATCAATTTTTTATAACGCGCCTAAAGAAGTATAACTTGAAAAATTAAATGAAATAAAAAATAAAATAATAATAATAACTAAAAAGTTATAATACCTAAAACTAAATAGAAACTTACAACTTATAGGCTCTTAGGCAGCAGAAGGCCTTTACGCGTGATGGGGTTCTGATCGACGGTACTGAAGGTAGCTAAGATATAGGATAACAAGATAAATAAAATAAGGTATAAAATGTAAAAAATCTAAGCTGTATATTATCTTTTTTTTGTCATGATTTGAAATTAAACGGGCTTTATTATTATATATAGATATATATACTAATGCTTATATTCATAGCTTAATGAACTTAGTAATATAAGCATATACTATATATATCTTATCCAAAGGCAAACGTAAGAATACAATGATGACAATGCATGTCGAAGTCAGCATGATGAAACTTAGCAGAAGTTTCGTAATTTATCATTATATAAAATATATAAACAATCGTAAGTACTTGGCGTATTTCTGCTCACACAGTTTTATTATTACAGCGACTTTCGAAATCGTTAGCTATTGACTGAGAATTAAAGTCAGATGAGGCACCAGAAAGTCAAGCTTTTCATGTCATTAAAATCATTTATAATATAGCATTATCTTTTGTTGTTGCCGTATGTGCTTAATCAAGAATAATAACGATTACATTATCAACTTTTAGTGTCTTTTGTTTTAACCAAACGGACACGTTTGTCCGCAATCCCTTACGTTAAGTGAGACGCTGCCTATCGTAGATTACGTATGTCCAGGAGGTGCCTATTCATCCGCCACTTGACCCTATATTATACACCCTGGAGCAGATTCCACTTGCTCTCTGTTCTGTTAGAATCCAACGTGATTCTGACAAAACTCGTTTCAAAGTTGTACAATTCCAAGGAACACTTCAATATCTTGGACAGACCTAATATGTAATACAACCGCACTAGACAGACTGCAGAAGAACAAAGAAGTGCTTATCACGGTTAAGAAAGGGAATCTTTTTGGACGCGTCTTACGTCGTCGCAGTCGAAATGTTAAAGTATGTAAATAATTTATAAAAATCGGGCTTATATTTAATAAAGGAGTTTTATTATTCTGTGTAGGTAATAGTAAACATATTAAAATAAATACACCATTCATTATGTGTGAATTTTAAATATATTTGGATTGGAGTTAATCCAAAAACCCATATCAGGAATACTGTTTGAGTATGATATCGGCATTCAGGACAAAGGTGCAAGGTCGGCGCCCGCGCAGGTGTAGGTCGGGCTCGAGACCGTTATTTTAAACCTTTGTCAAACTCACAACTTGCACTTTTCATTTATTATTTGCAACGGAACTTCGCTACCACTATAAACAGCATATAGCATTATTTTGTCATTATAATTTAATTTAATTTTATAATTATTACATTATTTTTTTTATATACACACTACAGTATTAAGTAGATTTAGTATTAGCATATACGAAAGAGCGTTCATCCCTAACACAGGTTCTCGAACTGAAAAATAGATTTAAGACTATTTACTTAATAAAGAAATATTTGATTAATTTTGAGCAATGCTTTGAGCTTGAGCAGAAATGAGCGAGAACTATGACTCCTTTATGTCAATTGTCAATTTATTTTTGGCGTACGGGAGTCGGACTTAATAGCTTAAACATATTCTGTAAGAATCACCAAATGTTGTTCAGAAAACAGTTTTTTAATTATGCCCACAGACTTGGAATTTGATGACAATGCATCAAATCATTTCATTTTAAACTGGTCATAAAAATACGTTAAAACTTTTAACTCGTGTATTCGTTTTGTATGAAAATGATTTGATACATTATAAAAGAATGTTGAGCCATTGAAACTGGTTTGCAAGCAATAAAATTGTAAGTAAATTCGACACACTCCTACCATTTATCGTTATGGCCGGTCGTAGCTCACAATACTCCCAAATTGAATTCAAATTGATTTATTTTACCTTAATTGTTGCACTTAAAAATGAAGACTGTTACGCAAAAACGATTTACGGTTTTTTGTTGTAAAGTTGAGGAGTAATTTATTTATTATTTCTAATATGACATTTACCAGAGGCACCAACAGTACGTAATGAACTATGGATGAGCACTCAATGGACGTGTTTAGAACCTTGAACTATATTCGAAACGAAAAGGAAATGTAAAGGATTGATGCCTTTAAGATGTGGTGCGGGAGGTGAACGCTATGAAAGTAGTGGACTGCGAAGTGCACCAATATGCATGCGGACTCATCTGTCTACCATATGCCGACAGCGAATTATATCAAATTTCGACCATACAATGTGTAGAGGCGATGATAACTTGGAAGAACTGATCATGATTAGTAACATAGAAGGCAAAAGATCACGTGGCCGTTCACCAACCGGATGGACCGTAAATTAGATACTTAGACAAAACTAATGGCCTAAACAAAGCAATTTAAACATATGTAAACAGTGAACAGGACAATAATAAAAAAGGACACATGAATTTCGATAATTTCAGATCGGTTAGTAGTAAAGTTAGGGATACGATGTAGACAGGTAATGCTTGTACAGTAGAGATTTAGAAGATAGAGAAGGAGCTAAGGGAATTCCAAAGCCTCACTACAGAGGAAGGAAGGAATATTACAACGGAATCTATTCGTACGTTGAGATAAGAAATAGTTTTTCAAGAAATTTAGCTAAGTTCCTGCATCAGTCTTATCTAGTATGATTTTTAATTTCATAATGGTGAAGAGCTTGATATATTCGGTAGCGGACTGATCAATTAAAAAAAAACCTTGTTAAGGGCCTATCTGGTACCTAATTCGTATTGTCAACAAAAAAGTACTAATAAAACTAAAATTGGAAGTGTAATTTATATTGCTTTCGTCTTTTTTTTTTGAAAAATTTATGTATTTTTGGAATAACTTGAAAGTTGTAGAAAATTCATTATAAATATATGATGTGTACTTCAATAAATAAATAAATGTAAAAGTGTGTACATTTTTCTTAAAGTGGGGATATTACATGGATGCTCAATTCTCATTAACCAGACTGTCCTCACGGTGACTTAAGGGGCTCAAATATTTGTACTGTAAACAAAGCAGTGTACAGACTAGCGGTGCACACTTATTGAATTATCGTGTTCACTACAAACAAAGATTTTTTACTCAATTACTATGGTTTGTTTGCTTTTACACGTAAGATATAGTTGTATATTTTGAATGGATTTTAACGTTTTAAGTTCCAATGTTGAGGGACCCTTCAGATACGCTATTTGAATAGTATATTTATATCATATTTTAAAAATTATAAGTTTAATTTTATTTTACTGAATTACAGTTTTATAAAATATCTACGATTCCGGGGTTAGTTTTAAATAATGTAAGAAATATAAAGTAGAATATTTATTATTGCGTTAGACTAGGCATATAATGCTTAATTAATACGACGAATGAATCCGACGATTTGTGTAATTGCCACGCTTTTAAAACTAAGAAAGCCTGAGTGAGCAAAATAAACATGATAAATTAAAATACTTTTGCATACGAAATTTTTTAATATATATTCAAGAATATACACGAAAACCTTACACGGTATACTTTGGGTTTATCTGAAGTCGGTTAAAAATTATAAAGTAAATCACATTTGAGAAAATCGTGATCGCCTCGAAGTCGGAGCCAATTTGGAGGTCATTTATCGCATCCGGCGATTGAGATACCGGTTATAAATACGGGATACGAGAAATTTCGCAATAGATTGCGTATAAATTATATACCGCAAATTAGGCTTAACGGTTTGCAAGTGGTGAAAAACAAAATCCAAGCGATTAAATATAATCTGCAAGTTTGTGTTAGTTTGAATAAGAACGAACAGTTTTAAATGTAAATGGTTGGAACACAATAAAGAGTAGCGATAGTG